GGTTTCGCCCATGAAGGGTGTTATGCGGTTTGGAAAGAAAAGGAAGTTGAGTCCGCGATTTATTGGGCCTTTTGAGGTACTTAGGAGGATTGGGGAGGTGGCTTATGAGCTTGCCTTGCCACCCAGCTTGTCGGGCGTGCATCCGGTATTTCATGTATCTATGCTCCGGAAGTATGTTGGGGACCCGTCCCATGTATTGGACTTCAGCGCGGTTCAGTTGGATGGTGATTTGACTTGTGATGTAGAGTCAGCAACTATTTTGGATCGTCAGGTTCGGAAGTTGAGGTCAAAGGATGTTGCTTCAGTGAAAGTGCAGTGGAGAGGTCGGCCCGTGGAGGAGGCTACCTGGGAGACCGAGCGGGAGATGCGGAGCAGATATCCTCACCTGTTTGAGGCTTCAGGTATGTTTCTTGACCCGCCCGAGGACGAGCGTTTGTTTTAGTTGGGGAGGATGTGACGACCCGACCTGTCGTCACGTGAGTTACCGTCCCGTTTTCCCACATTTTCTGCTTCCTTATGCTTCATTACAAAAGAGTCTTGTGTGAACGAGTTGATTTGGATTGATTTTAGAAGGAAATGAGACACTTAGTCTCTTTAAGGAAGGTTTGTTCTGGAAAAAGTCAACCCGATGTTGACTTATGCATTAGAGGGCTCGGATATGATTTCCGATGGTTCGGTTAGCTTCGGGGGATGATTTGTGACTTAGGAGTGTGATCGGAAGTGTTTTTGGAGGTCCGGTGTAGAATTAGGCTTGAATTGGCGAAGTTAGTATTTTGGCGAATTCCGGTTGATAGGTGAGATTTTGATCCGAGGGTCCGAATGGAATTCCGAGAGTTGCAGTAGCTTCGTTAGGTGATTTGGGATGTGTGCGCAAAATTTCAGGTTATTCAGAGGTGTTTTGGTTGGGTTTTTGATCGAATGCGTGTTTCGGAAGTTTTAGAAGAACTTAGGCTTGAATCCGATGTAATTTGATGGTTTTGGTGTTGTTCGAGGTGTTTTAATGATAGGAACAAGTTTGAATGATGTTATAGGATGTGTTGGTGCTTTTGGTTGAGGTCCCGAGAGCCTCGGGTGAGTTTCGGGTGGTCAACCGGACCATTTCCTAAGTTAAAAAGCTGCAGATTTCTCATTTCAGGTGTTGCAGAGAATTTACTCTTCGCGTTCACGTAAAGAGTCACGCGTTCGCGAAGAAGGATTTGGGAGGCAGGTGATTTGCTCTACGCGTTCGAGGGTCCGCGTTCGCGGATGGTCGGAGGGTTGTGCTTCGCGTTCGCATGAATAAGGTCGCGTTCGCGTATGAGGGGAAGGCTGAGCATCGCGTTCGCGGGGTTACTCTCGCGTTCGCATAGGGCTAATTTTTGGAAAATTAAATGTTGTGCTTCGCGTTCGCGAGGCAGTAGTCGCGAACGCGATGAAGGATTTCAGGCCTGGGCAGAATAGATTTAAGTCATTTTTGTTCCGCGAGCAAGGTCATTTTTCCACCATTTTTGAGCATCCTTGAGAGCTTTTGGACGAGAATTGAAGGGGATTTCGACTGGGATTGATTGGAGGTGAGTTTTATGAACTAAAAACATGATTTAATTGTCGAATCAACCTAGAAATTCATGAAAACTTAGCAAAAAGGGGGAAGAACTAGGGCTTGAGTTTTGAAATTTCAAATTGGGTTTTGATGGGTCATTTGAGCTCGGATTTGGGAGTTCTTGGTATGTATAGACTCGTGGCGAGATAAGGAATCCGTTGATGTAAAATTTTCTGAAATTCGAGAAGTGGGCCCGGGGCTCGGGTTTTGCAAATTTCATGATTTTCGATGTTTTTTGATTCTTTTCGATTGGGTTATGTTCCCTTAGCCTAATGTGACGTATTCGTTGTGGTTTTGGTTAGATTCGATGCGTGAGGAGGCCGATTTACGAGGCAAGGGCATAGCAAGCTAGGATTTTGGCCGGCTTGAGGTGAGTAATGATAGTAAATGATATCCTGAGGGTTTGAAACCCCGGACTTGCACAACGTAGTGCTATATTGAGGACAAACACGCGCTTAATAACGAGCGCGGGATTGTTTACTACTGGGGATTGTGACTTAGGCCGTCCCGATTGATATTTTTACCGCGTATTTGACTGAGATGTGTTTGTTATCAACATTATTTGGGCCTATTGCCATATTTTGGGCTTCATGCCGATACTTCGTGGATTTTTATCACTGTGTTCCTCACTATTTTGATATACTACTTGAACTCACTCCTGTTGATTATACTGTTTTACAAACTCAGCCGCTTTAATTGAACTTTGAGACTTAAATGATATTTCCACTGTTGTTTGGGCTGAGCACTACTATTTTATTGATGCCCGAGGGGCTTATGATGTTTTTCTGGACTGAGAGAGGCCGAGGGCCATATGTGAGGATATGTTGAGGGATGTGAGGAGGCTTTCAGGCCTTATGAGCGATGTGAGAGGGCTTTCAGGCCTTATGAGCGATGTGAGAAGGCTTTCAGGCCTTATGTTGATATAGCGCTTGGGCCGTAAGGGGCCCCTCCGGAGTCTGCACACCCACAGTGAGCGCGGGTACCCATATGATCTGAGAGTGAGCCCGAGGGGCTGATACTATGCCGAGTGACTGATACTGAGCCCGAGGGGCTGATACTGTTCTAAGCGATTGATACTGGGCCCGAGGGGCAGATTTCTACTCACTATTTACTTGTTGTTTTACCTGATTTACCTGTTTTTAAAAGGAGATTTCATTTGACTCTTTACTGTTTTACTGCTTTAAGTGATTTACTGCCTGATATAGAATTGCCTTGTGCACTTATGTGTTTTCATGCCTTCGGTTATTATTTATTATTATTACTCACTGGGTCGGAGTACTCACATTACTCCCTGCACCATGTGTGCAGATTCAGGCATAGCAGAGTCCGCTCCTAAGCGCTGATTCCTTCCAGACCAGGCAGCGATTTGGAGTTACGAGGTAGCTGTTGACGTTCGCAGCCCCTTGTCTCCCCTATCCTCTATCATTTATGTTTTCTTCATACTATTGTATCGGATTTCATACTATGTAGACTTATAGTAAACTCTGTAGTAGCTCATGACTTGTGATACCCCGGTTTGGGCTTTGTCGGGATGGTTTCCCCTTGTTATTATCGTTGTTCCCGCATTTATGGTTATCTTAAACATGTGTTAGAATTGTTAATGTTAATTAATTGCTTTAAAAGATGTATTTGTGTTGTTCTGGCTGGCCTTGTCTTCACGAGAGGCGCCATCACGACCGGGTTCGGGAGTTGGGTCGTGACAGGAAAGGACTCCCTAGGTAAGTTTGATCCCAGAAGTGATGAGGGAGTATTCTTGGGATATTCTTCACATAGCAAACCTTATAAAGTGTATAACAAAAGAACTTTGTGTGTAGAAGAAAGTGTACATGTAGTTTTTGATGAAACTAACATTCTTTCTGAGAGACAGGAACATGAAGATGAAGCCATTGGGCTGGTAAGAGACTTGAGTGAAGTCACAACTCAAGCTGAAGAGGCATCAAAAGAAGGAACAGGTGATGAAACAGGTTCTTCCATCCGGGGCAACCTGACAGGGGGAACTGAACAAAGAAGAAATAAATCTAATTCCCAAAATGAAACCTGTTCATGAGCCTGTTCCTCAGCAACAAAACATGGGAGAAACTCCAAATAGAAATCAGTTAGTTGTGAAACCTTACAAGTATCAAAGTTCTCATCCCATTGAGAACATCCTTACTGATCCAACTTCTGGAGTCAAAACCAGATCTCAATTAAAGAATATGTGTGCTTTTGATGCATTCTTATCTCTTAGTGAACCTAAAAATGTTGCTGAAGATTTGCAGGATACAGACTGGGTGAATGCAATGCAAGATGAACTCAATCAGTTTGAAAGAAGTCAAGTGTGGCATCTGGTCATAAGACCCAAGGACAGGTCAGTGATTGGCACTAAATGGGTCTTCAGAAACAAACTTGATGAAGATGGAACAGTTACAAGGAACAAGGCAAGGCTATAACCAAGAGGAGGGCATAGATTATGATTAGACCTTTGCTCCAGTAGCAAGACTGGCCTTATCCACTGCTGAGGCTGAGTATGTTGCTGCTGCCTCTTGTTGTGCCCAACTGCTGTGGATTAAGCAGCAGCTAATGGATTTTGGCATTGAGATTGGTTGCATTCCTATTTTCTGTGATAACACTAGTGCTATAAGTATGACAAAGAACCCAGTTCATCATAAGAGGACTAAGCACATAGATGTTAGACATCATTTCTCAAGGGACAACTATGAGAAAGGACTGATTACTATAGAATTCTGTGCTACTGATAAACAAATTGCTAACATCTTTACTAAAGCACTAAGTAGAGAAAGCTTTGAGAGGAACATGTTAGAATTAGGGATGATTAAGATCAACTAATGGGACCAATTCAGAATGCACAATGAAATAAATAAAAAAAAATTAAAAAAAAAATTCTTGGCTAAGAAATTTGGAACTTGTGTAAATATCTAGATTAATTTTTACTTAGCTTCATACTGTAAATAGTATACTCTTGTGACATGTGTTGATATGACTCACTGATCTCTAACAATTTTTTTTTCTCTATTTTGATAAATTGAGGCATGATCAAGAGAATTCTAAATGAAGAACCTGGTTCATCAGTATTGGTTCATCTGAGTGACAAGGTATATTTTCTATACTATGCACAATTAGAAATATAAATATTTAAATCATGAGCAGAGTCCTAACAATGTTCTAACACATCAGAAAATTCTATCCAGTTGTTTTTTTGAACTAGTTATGTCCTCATTAGAATTCTAACCACAAAAAATGCCTAAAATCTAGGGAAGCCTAACCGTTCGTTCAACCTGCAATTTCAGGTTGATTAGACCTCTAATTGACTGCTAAAGCTACCGTTATCTATTAAACTAGATGGGGTTTCCCGTGCTATGCACGGGCCCTACGTGTTACGTATTGTGAATTTTTTTTTCCAGGTGTCCCCATGCCAACATAATAGTGCTCCATCCTTAAAAATGAAAAAGACAATCCTAAATAGTAGGATGGTACAATATAGGCAAAAGAGGACGTAAAAATACTCTACTACACTGCTATCTGTACATATTACAACCACGTATATTATTGATGCAACACCCACATAATAGAACAAATGTGTCTCTAAAAGCACATCACAAGCACATTCTAACCCATCGTTCTCTTTAGGTATCAGCTACATTGGCTAGCTCAAAAGTTACTCTTGTTATACTCGAAACAAGAGCATAGTGATGATCAGAACATAGGAGAAGTTTATCACCTTCAAAAGACAAGGAAACATCAATCATCTATGTAAATATAGATACACGAGAAGAACTAAGGATAGTAGAGAAGCACTCTCAAATATCCAATTGTTTGTGGCAATTTGAAAATTTGAAGTATAATATTGAGCAGTTGATTCCCAACACTCAAATTTCAAAATTGTATTTTAGATATAGACTAAAAAATTCCATAGATTGCCAAAATTATTTTTTTGGCGAAAACTTTTACTTTTCCCATCTCAAATTGAATGATCACTTTTCTTTTATAGGCTGTCTCACAATGATACCCACTTAACTTAAAGGCACATTGAAACTATCTTTTACATATCTCATATAAAAGTTATGTAAGAACTGTATTTTTCTTTCTATATGAAATATTTTGCTAGTAAATCGCTTACAAACACGTCTCTTGATTAGGATAGGGAGATTTACTCCTTTAAATTTTATTAGTAAACAACATTACCAGTAATTTTGTTTTGGTCCTAAAAGTTTGTTTCTAAAAGGCATATTAAAGTAAATGTGTTTGGCAAGCAAAATTTATTTCATATTCTTTCTCTTACGAGGTGTCACAAACAGACCATTGCTCATGCTGTAAAATATATATGTAATTGTGCACAACAAAAGAAAAATCAACATATTCGGTTAAAATAAATGATTAAGAATTTTTGAAATTATTTTTTTTACCAATTCTTATTAAGTAAGGAAATCAGGAGATAAATCTGTAAAATAACAAAGAAAAGGTCTACAAGTTCCCTGTTCAATTATCTAGCCTTACAACCTTTTAAGAAAAACTAAAAGCTTTAATTTGGACTCCTCTTTAACCATTCATGGATTTCTATTTATCATTTATTATATTCCTCCTCAACTTGAGAAGACCAAAGCGGGACAAATGTTTATATGAATATTTAAGTCCTAAAACATATAATTTTTTAATCAAGACTGATATCACCTTAATTAGTCAATCATACTTAATTGTAATTGGGTGACTTACAGATTTTTGAGAGGCTATGCAGAAGAATGACACCAAACTTGATACTCCAACCAAGTGAAGCATATCAAAGGTGTCGTCAATCCTCTATCCTCCATACACCTGAAAAAATGATTGCATAAGAGATATAAATAGTGGTGACAGAAGAGGCAAATTATATATAAAGTCGTTCATAAACCTTATTAAATCCAAACTTTAAATAGTAATGAGTACTAATGGTCATTTCTAATATAATTAGGCTCTATTCATATCATAGTTCTAATGGTTAATCCTACATTTCCCTTCTCGTCATTGTTAACCAACTTCCTCACAAAAATTGAAGGTAGTAGCACTTTCTTAGCATGATATCCTAAGTTTTATAGCTTGATTGTTGACGTACTTCAAATGGCAGAGCGGGTACGCATTACTTTAAGAATAACTCATGATCATATATATGCCAAGTCATAGGCTCAACGTATTTTATAAGATTAGAATCAGCTAGAAAGTTAAGATCTTGTGGAGACAAATCATAGAAGGAACTACTAATTTCCTTGAGCAGATTCACTTGCAGGTTTTGCAAAGGTTCAATTCCAAGAGGAAAGTTAAAATAGTTTCTCAAGGTTGCTAGTTCTTACCACTTCACTTATTTATTCAACTAAATTTATGTCTCAACTATCTTCATAGTAAGTTGGTCTCGAGGAATGATTAAAATGAGAAACTAAATTTCCAATATGGAGATGCTTTGGGATTTTGGCCTATTAATCACAAAACTTAATATTAAAATACTTATAACTCCTTCTTTATAAATAATTTCTTAGCCAGATGTAATTTTCGAAGAATAAGCAAATCCAAAAGAGAGATGAAAATAGTTTGCAGCACCCAAATGCACTATTCGTTGAGAACAAAGGTAAAAATAATTTTAAAAAATTGACAGTCTATTGAGCAAGAGCAACAACCATACCTTTTTTTTTAAAAAAAAAAATTTACACCAATTCTGCAGTCCCTGCACTACTCGTAACATGAACAATTACCAATCTTCTCATCAAGAAAATACGATAGTAAGTCATCAATTAGATGCAATTAAACTATAGAATTTTGAATCTAACTATGACTTCGTAGCTTACCTTGAAGGATTAACTGCTACTTGAGTGTACAATGTCCTAAGAGGCAACACGCCTGGCCTCTACGATGTACATATCTACATCCAATTTGACAACTCTACCATGAAGTTTTACTGACTTTGTTCAACTCTAACTGAATTTCATAGAAAAGATTGACATATAGCATTTCATAATGCAACTCTCTATGTCACAATTGATTTTCTTAATGCAAGACAATATGTGATTAATTGAATACTGGCATTTTAAAAAAAAAATGTAAGGTGAATAAGGGCATTACCGTTCTTGTGAAGCATGTTTGTAGGTTTTGGTGTTGCTAAAATTCTTTCCAAATTAGAGCACCAAAGAGTTGAATCCAGAACATCTAAAGCGTGATTAAATATTCCATCAGTAGCAATTAAAATAAAATATATGTAGCGAATAATACAAAATAATATCATACATATCTTAAATACAACAAAATGTTCTCACTTTGTGAATTAAGGTAGGTAACTACTGCCAAAATCTCACCTTTGAAAGGTTGAAATACAACACATTGATAGTTCACCGCGTTTTTTCAATCTGTTTATCATCAATCTGTTTATCACCAGTATTAACATCGTTGCAAGTGCTTACAAGTCCATCTAATTAGTTTATCTTTCAATAACATTTTACTTGTATAACTCTACTTGCCCAAGAAAAATTAGGCAAATAAAAAATGAATCATCGGTGACAACTTATTGACCCATCTCTACTTTAATACCACGGCCAATTTACCACACCCATAGCAACATGTTCAATTGGATTAGCAAGTAAAATACAAAAGTCTACTATTATTCCAAGCCTTTTATAAGTGTTTCTATATTTGTACAAAAGTATATGAATTTTTTTTCCCAAGTCACAAAAATGTAAAGGTTTGCAAAGTTGAAGGTAATCTTAATTTACTCGAAAATAACAAAAGACAAGAAATTATAACCAAATAGTTTAGTTGTTTTAGACATATCACCGAACACCTTGGGTTCATCAGTATGCACAGTTTAAATTCCATGGCCTTGGGTAAAGAATGAAAATAATCCGAAGAATAAAGTAAAAGAAGAGTAAAAAGCAAAAATATTTAGATAGAAAGTGTGACTAACTATAAATAATCGAGATTTACAAATATAGAGCACCATGAAAGTACGTTTACAAATAAACTGACATTGTCAATAACTAAACCTTTGCTGCTATGGCAAAGACCTAATCTTCCAACAAAAAGCTTAATACTACAGACTTTTGCATAAACATTTCAATTTGCAGATAGTAATAAGTGCCTAGAGACGATAGGAGATCAACGATCAGTAATCTAAAATAATATAAATTACATGCAGCAGGTATCTTATCTCAAACATGCGAGATCAGATAGAATTACTGACATGCATGTAAGAAAATCTAACAAGAAACTATGCAGAAGAGTAAGAAATCTAAAATTGAAGCAAAAATGAACAAACTCTCAAAGGAATTCCAAAGTCACGGGCAGAAATTAGTGCAAGAAAGGAAAAAACTTACCAAAAAATCCGAACCTCTCACATGCCGCAACATAGACAATTGTTGTAGAGTTCACATGCCATAACATATAATCCAAGTTAAAGAATAAGATTTATTTTCCTGTATAGCAGATAACGACGCAGAACACACGAAATGCAGAGACAAAGAGCAATATGATGTGAGAGACATAATCTAAAAATGCCAAAATCACCCAAACAGACATCCATTAACGTTACAAGGAGGATTATGGATTTTTCTGCATTTGAAGATGGCCACACTATTAAAGAGCGAAACCATGAAACTTTCTAGAAAATTTTAAAAAGAAAATCAATTACCTCCAAATCCCGCATCAAAATCTTAGAAGCTATTGTAAAATCCCTTTCATACGGTTTTAGAGGAAAAAGCAAAGAAATCTGAAACCAAAAGAAAAAAATCAAATCATAGCTCACCTATTTAAATGGCCAGAAGAAGCCGAGTGATGAAGAAGAATAAAAAAGAAATATAGTGATGAAGAAGAAGAAACGACAAAATTGGGTAAGGCTTGCGAAAATCAGTAAACTATAGTATAGTGTAATCTAGCTGTATCCCAAGTGTTCCAACACGTGTTATGAAGAAAGAGGAAATAGAAGGGCCGGAAGTAAAATACCAAAATGCCCATAACAAAAAATATTATTCCGAAAGTACCCTTCGTCGTACAAGGGAACCTTCACTTATTATATAGTTAATGAGTCTTTCTCTTTAAATACTCATTATTAATTCCTACCACCCTCATAATTCAAAATCGTCAAAAACCTTCTTCACTGTAAATTGCTTTCTTCTTCAAAAGTTTATCTCACCAACTCTCTCAAGAAATCAGCTATAATGACGAACCCACAAGATAACCATGGAACTCCTCCACAACCTACTCCTTCTGATTCATCCATCCCTCCTCCACCTAGCACGACTCCTCAACCCAGGAGAAGGCGAGTAAAAATGCTTGCTCGCAAAAGGGTGGCATCTGGTGCTCTATCAAAGAAATTAAACGAGAAATTAAAGGCGAGTCAAGCCCAAGATTCCGACTCTGATTCTGATTCGTTCAAATCTGCAAGTGAGGAGGAAGAAATTGGGTCTTCTGACTCTGAGAAGGCTCAAAAATTCCCTTCTGAGGTAAGCTCTGCCTTGGTTGAAAATTTAAAAAATAGGTTTGTTTTGGTTGGGCCTATCAGGGATGTGGAAATGTCTGAATTGGGAAGGAGTGGAGGTAAAAAGAAAATTGCAAAAGAAAAATAGAGAGAGGGTGAATATGGTGATGTGAGGGGAAAAGGGAAAGGAGTGTCTGATTCCTCACCCACTTCTGAATTGTCTGTACCAGCTATTTGTGGGGTTACACAGGAAACTGTGGAAGAAAGTGGCAAGAAGTCAGGGGGAAGTGGTTCAGGGGAGGCTGCTGAGGGGTTAATTAATCTAAGTTCACAGGGAGATGAATCTGGTTTATCAATTGAAGAGACCCTAGCAGGCCTTCTGAAAAAGGTAGGTGCAAGTTATGATCCAAAGAAGAGGAGAACTCCAACACCAAAAGCCCCCAGCACTGCAAAACCTTCCAAGAAACGAAAGGCCTCCCCCCCAACAACTACTGAAATTCCTTTGCCAAAGGGAAGAGCCACAAGGAGTAGAGTGAAACATGTTGAGAGTGAATTTTAAAAAGCTTTGGCTGACAGCAAGAAAAAGAGGATGGACAAAGGAAAGGGTAAGGTTGCAGAATCCTCTGAAGCTGTAGATGTTGAGGAGATGGAACAGGTCCATCAAGAGAAAGTTACAGTGGAGGTTCATACCCCCAAACCTAAAATACCAAGACTTCTTCCAAAAAGTTTTCATATGTGTCTAAGGCTGTTGAACCTACATTGGCCAAGAGGACATTGTCTGCAATGAAAAACAAACAAGTTACAATCTCTGAAGATGAGGACTAGAGTGGTAAAGAAGAGAGTAAGTCTAAAGGTGAACAAGACAAGTGGCCATGTTTGGCAAAAGAAAAATTTTGAAGGGACGATTGCTAAAAGATTTGGTGGAACCAGGAATGGTTCGTTTGGTTGACACCCTAGCTGCTCAGGGCTGGAAGGACATGGTCCTTCAGATGGATGGGAGATTGTCCAGAAATGAAATCATTGAATTCATGGCGAATGCTGAGGTCAAAGATGGCAGAGTTACAAGCAAAGTTAAAGGAGTTCAAGTGACCTTTGATGCAGAGAAGCTGGGAGAGATTCTTGACATACCTGCTGAGGGATATGATGACTACACTAGGCAAAGATGACCAAGTCTGGATTCCCTTCCTTCTGCCCTTGCAATCACTAGGAAACTCTGTGATGTTGAAGAAGTGAATGAGGCCAAGTTTGTGCACAAGAGTGAGATGAAGCCACATCACAAACTCATTTTTGAGTTTGTCAACAAGTGCCTACTGCCACGCAGGAGAGAAGGCATATTGCTAACTATATGGACTTAGTTCTGATGGAGTGCCTTGAAAGTGGAAGGCAAATTAACTGGCATGCATTCATCATCAAGCTACTGGACAAGGTTATCAATGGCTCCAAGGCTCATGCCACCCCCTATGGATTTATTCTGACTACGGTTCTGAATAGGTGCAATGTGCCTCTGAAGAAGTGGGAAATGGACACTAGCAAGGATTACTTTGGCATTAATACTCTGCTTTCTTGTGACTATTTAGTCAATGCAATTCCAAATAAACCCGGTTCATCCAAGAAGACACCTATCAACAGTAAAGTCAGGGCTCTTGTTCAAGAAAGTGAGGCCAAGGATGCTGAGATAGCTAGGCTAAAGGCTCATTTGGCAGAGGTTGAATCTGAGAGGGATTCTCTCAGAACTGAGCTTACCAAGGAAAAGGAGAAGAATGATGGGATTCTTCACAATATGCTGAATCTTCTCCAAGCCCAAAACCAACCCTCTAGCTCCCCCAAGCCTTAGGAATTCTAGCCTTTGTCTCCTGAACTTGTCTAGTACCTTCAGTTACCCAGATTAGGGATTTTTCTTTCTTTTTGCTCATGTTTTTGAATATTTTTGCTTTCTGGTTGTGGATTGTGGTAGAAACATATCCTCTATCAATGATATCTACTGTTTTTGCTCTTGTTGACTGTTAATATTTCCTTGATAGTTTAAATATGTTTGCCTGATTATTGATGATTGATCCATGATTGCACTTGCAGTTGCCCCAGTGGCCATGAGTACTTATTACAATCTGGGACTTACACTTTGTTTATGCAACGTTTCGATGATGCCAAAAGGGGGAAGAGATATTGTGCTTTACATATTTTGAATATGCGATGTTTATAACCTAATTAACCTGGTCCTTGATGATAAGCAAATTTTTCCAAACTTTGTATTGATGAATAAGCTGAGTTCTTACAGGGCCTAAGTGAGTAAAAAGCACAGAGTTTGTCATCATCAAAAAGGGGGAAATTGTTGGCCCAAGTAAATATGAAGTCTTGAAGACTGACAAAAGAACTCAGACATGGACCAGGTCCATCTTGTGAAGCACAGTTGTGATCAACCCAAACATGTGAGATGCACGTGAAGGAGATAAACCTAAGTTATCAGAAGTGATATCTCCTGATCATGATCGAAAATATTGCATATAGGATAAGGAGAAAGACTCCTTACACAAAGAGAACATGGTTTAGGAAAAGGATAAGAGTTAGAGTATGAGATCAACTAGAACTCTTCCACCATGGAAGAGTAGCATCTGTATCCTAGTCAATCTGTAATTACTAGCTCCTTAAATATCAGTGTTGTTCTCTTTTACAGGTAATGCACATAAGCAGAAGTTAAATGTAAACTGAGAGCAAAATAGCAAGGCAATTTTCCAAGCAACTTATGTGTGATTCAAGCGTGCAATCCTGAAGCTACTTGAACCAGATAGAAGAGCCAGTTCCAAGTGTCTATCTTTTATACTAGTTCAATTGTAGTAGGTGATTTTACATTGTACCTTTCAGCTTTTATAGAAGCAATTGTATTAGTACTTAGAGTGTTCAAGTTAGAGTTAACTAGTTGAGGCTGTGTGCCACAACGGGATTAGAGTTAATCCTAGGTTTACAAAAGAGTTTTTGTAAATGCAGTTTTTGGCTCAGTGATTTTAGTGGAAGTTTGGGAAATCCTACTGAGTAGTAGGTCGTGGTTTTTTCACCTTTTGAGCCAGGTGTTTTCCACGTAAAAATCTCTGTGTTCTTTTATTTCTTTACTTATTATTCCGCAAACAGTAGTAGTTGGAACACATAGAAGAACCAGGTCCTTCTATAATCAAGTTAAGCGAAAATTGAGTACCACACAAATCATCCCCCTCTTGTGTGGTATTGAAGTATAAAACATCAAACAATCGAGCTACATCTTAGTGTACTGATTCATATAAGACACATCCTGCTTTGTACCAAAAAGAAAAACTTTTATTACAGCAAAATCTCATATATTTATACAAATAATTTTAAGGTAAAGAGAATGTTAATAGCGCACCAGGAGATCTTATCACTAAATGGCATTCATACTTGTTCGGTGGCCATCCACTGCTTCATTATCATAGGTGAACCACGTTAATTGATATACTGAAACTGTGAAGCATATTCACCTGCGGCAGTGAACATGATATCTTCTATCAAAGCTAGTTTACAGTAATATGATTCAAGCCTACGAACGAAGAGACTGAGCACTACCGACCTTCGGGAATTACCTATGTCTAGTTTTTCAGTTTTCATAACCATAAATACATTATCAAAACAAAGAAACTTGATGCGGAGCAAAAGAGCTCGCAAGATTCTCCTAACTTGTTTGCTTTTGGGCCCATTAAAAATACAGTAAATTGAAAATTTCGTCTTGTCCTACAATCAGTCTTTGTTTCTTTAGTCAGCTATTACAGATTTGATATCAGAAATGCATACTTCACTTGACCTATGATATCATGTGAATGATGAGTTATTCAAAGTGGAATCTTTTCAACTTTTAACCGTTGGTATTAATTATAGTTCTCAAAGTGAAATCTTTTTAACTTCTAACAGTTAGTATTCAATATAGTTCTCATAAAATATTTCTTATACTATAACTTCAATCTCAAGAATAGTAAATATAAACTCCAAGAGTTATATGAACACTATAAAGTTGCTCTTGATATACCACCCATTACTTGCACCTTGTCAGCGATGGCAAAGATTGTTGATATACCACCCATTACTTTCAGGTATATTATCGGTATATTATTGTTGGCCATAGACTGTTGATATAAACTGAAGTATGCATTTCTGATATCAAATCTGTAATAGATGACTAAAGAAACAAAGACTGATTGTAGGACAAGAAGAAGTTTTCAATTTATTGTAATTTTGATGGGCCCAAAAGCAAACAAGTTAGCTGAATCTTGCGAGTTCTTCTGCTCCGCATCAGGTTTCTTTGTCTTGATATTGTATTTAAGGTTATGAAAACTAAAAAACTAGACATAGGTAATTCCCGAAGGACGGTAGTGCTCAGTTTTCCGTCGTAGGCTTGAATCATATTATTGCAAACTAGTTTGATGGAAGATAT